AAACTTAACATGCCAGCACCTTAGTGCTTGTTTTAAGCCATATAATGACTTCTTTAATTTACAATACAATCCCTTTTCAATGTGAATTCCTTTAGGAGGCTCCATATATATCTCCTCTTCTAAATCTCCATACAAAAATGCAGTAGTCACATCAAATTGACTTATTCTGTAACCTTGTTGCACTGCGTAGGCTAGCATAACTCTTGGTGGGAGGCCGCGTTTCTTACGCGGCGGCGGCGTCTGCCCCTACTCCATCGGCTCCCCAAAGGCCGAGGAGGGGGGCCAAGGCACCGGCCCAGGCGCCGGCCAAGGCACCGGCTAAGGCGCCGGCCAAGGCACATCCCCAGGCGCCGGCCAAGGCACATCCCCAGGCGCCGGCCAAGACGGGGCCTAAAACGGCGCCGAGGAGCGGAGTGGCATTCCCTCCGCTCCCCACTCCGACACCCCTGCCGGGCCCCTCCGCACCTGCCCCCTCCAACGAGGGTTGGCAGGAGGCGAGGGGCTCCAAGAAGTCCCGAAGGCGGGCCAGAAGGGCTGCCCAAAAAGCAGCCCAAGCCCAGCCTTCGCCACCGGTGGCAACGGCCTCTGCAAAGAGGCCGCGGAAGCTGCAGCCGCCCAAAACCGCGGCTGTAGTGGTGACCGTGTCCCCGGAGGCGGCTGACGGCGGGCTGTCCTACGCGGCCGTGTTTAAAAAGGCCCGGGACAGCCTCGCCAACGACTTTGGGACGGTGGGGGTCAAGATGCGCCTCGCCCAAACGGGAGCTCGAGTTCTCGAGTTCCCAGGGGCTGAAGGCGCCAAGACGGCGGACACTTTCGCTGAGAGGCTGCGGAGTTTATTCGCGACCACAGATGGTGTCAAGATCGCCAGGCCTACCAAGTGCGCGGAGCTGCGCATCTCGGGCCTGGACGACTCTGTGACGGCCGAAGATGTCCGCGCTGTAATCCGGGAGAAGACGGGGTGCAGCGCGGACAACGTCAGGGTCGGCACCATCCGCCCCGGTCCAGGAGGGCTTGGCGCCGTGTGGGTCAGCTGTCCCGTAGCGTCGGCCAAAGTATTGGCCGACGCCGGCAGGCTGCTCATCGGTTTCGTGAGCGCCAGGATCACAGTCCTGGCGGCGAGACCGATGAGGTGTTACAAATGCCTAGCATCGGGTCACACGCGCGTCAAGTGCCAAAGCTGCTTCGACTGCAGCGGACTATGTTTCCGCTGTGGTCGACCGGGGCATGTGGCGGTGGAATGCTCTGCCGCTCCTCACTGCCCGGTGTGTGCGGCGGGTAACAAGCCCGCCAATCACCAGATGGGGCAGGGGGGCTGCAAGCCTCCCCGCAACTCTCAGCAAGCATCGGGGGCTAGCCAGTCGACCCAGGCTGCCTCCGATGTAGTTCGTGCGTCGACGTCGTCGCCCATGGAGGAGGCTGTAGAGACGATCCAGTAATGGATCGGGTCTCCAGCCTCCTGGTCCAGACGAACCTGAACCACTGTGCCGCGGCGCAGGATCTCTTCCTGTAAACCATGGCACAGTGGTCGATAGGTGTTGCCGTAGTCGCGGAGCCCTATTCTGTCCCTCCCCGTCCAAACTGGATGGGTGACTGGGACGGCTCCGTGGCAGTCGTCGGTTCCACGACGGCTCATTCCCCGCCCTTGTCGCTAAGAGAGAAGGGCACTGGATATGTTGCCGTCGAGTGGGGGGGGATCACCATATATGGTGTTTATTTCTCCCCCAACCGGAGTTTGAACGACTTCGAGGTTTTCCTAACCAGCTTGGAGACCTCGATACGGCGACTAGCGTCTGGGCACGTCCTTGTGCTGGGGGACTTCAACGCAAAGGGGCGAGGCCGTAGAGGAGTGGGCGGCCTCGGTGGGCCTCTGTCTTCTAAACAGAGGCTCCACCAACACGTGCGTGCGACAGCAGGGGGGGTCGATAGTGGACCTCTCGTTCGCTACCCCTGCCCTCGCCGCACGAGTAAGGAACTGGCGTGTCCCTGAAGAGGTTGAGACGCTCTCGGATCACCTGTATATCCGATTTGAGCTCTCCCGGACCCAGGACTCCAGTAGGGGTCACGTGGCGCGGCGTTTATCCCGCTTTCCGCGGTGGGTTGTTGCCAGACTGAACCGGGACCTACTAGAGGAGGCAGCCATAATTCACTCGTGGCTGTCTCCTCAGGCTCCGACCGAGGAGGTCGACGTGGGGGCTGGCCGCTTTCGCGATGCGATTACGCATATCTGCGATGCGGCCATCCCCCGCATTCGAGGTCGTCGGCCTCCAAGGAAGGAGGTCTACTGGTGGTCCCAGGAGCTGGCGGACCTCCGTGCGGCCTGTACACGTGCCCGGAGGTCCTACACGCGCAGTCCGGACCGGCTTCATGAGGAGTACCGACGGGCGCGGAAAACTCTGAAGCTGGCCATTAGCCGCGCCAAAGAAGAAAAAAGACAGGAGATGCTGGAGGGTCTTAATCGTGACCCCTGGGGTCGCCCTTACCGCGCGGTGCGACAAAAGCTCCGCGCGTCGGGCCCCCCCCTTACGGAGACTCTCCAGCCCAGCTTCCTGCGAGAAGTGGTTGAGGGCCTTTTCCCACAACGGGCGGAATACACTCCCCCGTCGATGGCCTCCCTGGCCGGAGACGACGGGGAGCACGGGGAGGATAATGTTCCGCCCGTCCGGGATTCGGAGGTAGGGGCGGCTGTTCTACGGATCCGTTCCAAGAACACCGCCCCTGGGCCAGACGGGGTACCGGCCCGAGTGCTGGCCCTGGCCCTCAACCACATGGCAGACCGCCTCGGGGAGGTGTTCGACGCTAGCTTGGCGTCGGGACGCTTCCCTGAGTGCTGGAAGAGCGGGAAGCTGGTCCTATTGAGGAAGCCGGGACGGCCTGCCGATTCGGTCGCGGCCTATAGGCCCATCGTGCTGCTGGACGAGGCGGGCAAATTGTTTGAGAGGGTTCTTTCTGCCCGCATCGTCCGGCACCTCTGCGAGGTGGGCCCCGATCTGTCGGACGCCCAATTTGGTTTTCGGGCGGGGCGTTCGACAGTCGACGCCGTGTTGCGCCTGAGGGCCGTGACCGAAGAGGCCGTGAGCTGTGGCGGCGTGCTGTTGGCGGTGTCATTGGACATCGGCAACGCATTCAATAGTCTGCCATTCAGCTGCATCAGGGAAGCACTCCACTATCATGGGGTGCCAAAGTACCTGAGGCGGCTAGTGGCAGACTATTTAGAGGAGCGTACCGTCGTGTACGAGGACCGAGAAGGTAATCTGAGGTGTCGGCCCATGTCGTGCGGTGTTCCACAGGGGTCTGTTCTTGGACCCCTCTTGTGGAACATAGGGTACGACTGGGCCCTTCGCGCCGATTTCCCCCCCGGGCTGGGTGTAATCTGTTACGCAGACGATACCCTCGTGACAGCCCGGGGGGCAAACTTCCAAGAGGCGGCGCGCCTGGCCACAGGGGGAGTCTCCCTGGTGGTCGGGCACATTGAGGCGCTGGGCTTACGGGTGGCCCTAGATAAGACGGAGGCCCTGTTATTCCATGGGCCCCGTCGTGGTCCACCCCCTGGCGCCTCAATCGTGGTCAACTCGGTCCTCGTACCGGTTCGGGCCCAGATGAAATATCTGGGCCTGATCCTCGACGGGAGGTGGCTCTTCGACGAGCACTTCCGACAGCTTGCTCCAAAGCTGGTCGGCGCTGCGTCTGCCCTAGGGCGACTTTTGCCCAATATGGGTGGACCCAGCGTCGCGACAAGACGGCTGTACACGGGGGTTGTCCGGTCAATGGCACTGTACGGTGCACCGGTGTGGCGGCGGCTCTGACCGCCCAGAATAGGGTACGCCTCTGGCGCCCTCAGAGGGTAATGGCGGTCAGAGCCATACGCGGTTACCGCACCGTTTCGACGGAGGTGGCATGCGCATTGGCCGGAACTCCCCCGTGGGATTTGGAGGCGGAAGTGCTCGCCGAAGTCTATCGGCGAGTGGCTGACTTCCGGGCGGAGAGCGGATTTCGCCCTCCGCCCGAGGATGTGCGCGAGTGGCGCGAAGCCGCTCGCCGAGCCACGATGGCTCGTTGGTCGTTCCGGCTGGAGACTCCACGCGCTGGCTTCGCCGCCGTGGAGGCTCTCCAGCCGGTCATCGCCGAGTGGGCAGGGCGGCAGCACGGGACCCTTTCCTTCCGGCTGACGCAGGTGCTTTCCGGGCACGGTTGCTTCGGAAAGTACCTGCACACGGTCGCTAGGAGGGAACTGAGTCCCGCCTGCCACCACTGCGACTGCAGTGAGGACTCGGCCCAGCACACGCTGGCGGTCTGCCCCGCATGGGCGGCGCAGCGCCGGGCCCTCACTGCAGTCATCGGAGTGGATCTCTCGCTACCGGCCGTAGTACGCTCCATGGCCGGTAGCGACAGTTGTTTTACCGCGGTCGCAACCTTCTGCGAGGTAGTAATCTCGTGGAAGGAGGCGGCGGAGAGGGCCCGGGAGGACGACCTCCACTCGGACCCGATCCGCCGCCGGCGAACCGGGCGGCGGAGGCCCGCCTACCACAGCCTCATGCCGCCCTGAGTGTGGCCGCGGGTGGACGGGGTGGGTTTCCCCTCCACCCGCATTAGTTTGGCCAGCCGCGAGGGGGCGGCGTCTGCGTGTGCCGGACGTCGCCTAAAGAGAGGAACAACATCGAGACGGAGCCCGCACCAGGAGCGGGCTGGCGCTAGGAGGGGTCCGGATGTCTTAACAACAGCTGTTCCCGGATCCCTCCTGTTACAGGCGCAGAGTGGCACACCGTGTGGTTTTAGTCGGTCCGAGTCCGACACACCACCCCGCCGCAAACCCCGGAGGGGTGACGGTCCGAGGGGATTTCCACACGTTAAAAAAAAAAAAAAAAAAAAAAAAACTCTTATTGAGTCGTACTTACTGTAGGAGCGAAAGTTTCCTTATAATCAATATCTTATTTTTGTGAAAACCCTTTTGCACATAATCTTGCTTTATAACGTTGCTGATCATAGTCAGGTGTGGTTTAAATTTAAAAAACCCACTTTGATTTTATTGCTTGCTTCCCATTTGGTAATTCAGAAATATCCCAAGTTTTATTTCTTTCAAGAGCTTCTAATTCTTCTTTAATAGAAAGCTCCCACTGTTTTCTGTCACTACTTAACATTGCTTCTTCATAACTATTTGAAATATTTATTTGTGTAAAATGAATTTCATAAACTTGAAAACGTTGAGGTAATTTTATTTTTCTCTTTTCTTTGGCAGGATAATCAACTAACACCTTTTCTTTATCAGTTTCTATATCAGGTTCAACATTGGAATGTTCTATCTCAGGATCTTCAGAAGTACATTCATATACATCTTCTGCTGTTTCAGGCTCTCTCTGCAATAGTGAAGTGGACATTGGCTTTTCTTTATGATTGTGTTCGTTATCATCGCAGTTCCCTATAGATACCTTGGCTATATTATTCCGTATCTCTGGAGTATTTTCTCCATTAAAAATAACATTTCTTGAAATTTTAATCTTCTTTGTCTTCATATCCATTAAACGATAATTATTCAATTCATATCCCACTAAAATAAGCTTTTCTGATTTCTTATCAAGTTTTCTTCGCAGCTGATCAGGAACATGCATGTATGCCTCTGAACCAAAAACACGTATATGATCTATTTTCCTTCCTGTCCACATTTCATAAGGTGTAGTGCCAGGAACCTGTGTCGTAGGAGTCCTGTTCAAAATATAAGTCGCACAATTAATAGCTTCTGCCCAGAAAAACAATAGTAAATCTTTTGCATACAACATAGACCTAGCACTCTCGACTATAGTACGCATATCACGTTCAGCACGTGAATTTTGCTCTGGTGTATATGGAGCAGTAGAGACAAAGTCTATACCTTTAGATTTAAGAAATTGTAACAATTCAAAATTTTTAAATTCAGTACCATTATAATAATAATAATTTATTTGACCAATATCAATATTACAGTGTAGGACATTTTCGTTTAACATAGATCTCAGACAAAAATTAGACTAAGTTGCACTAGCGTAAATATATAGTAGTGTTATTTTATTCTTATGATTGTATAATTCATATTGTATGATTTTCTACACATAAAGATATTACGATTTTGTTAAAAACTTTAGGCGCTGCCTGCCTAAACCAGGGTAAACCTGTGTTTCAGGCGATCGCTTGACATGGAATTTTTAAGGTAGAAATGTAAGATAATAATAATAAATCTCTTTATTGTACACCAGGTATAAATATATAAAGATTAACTTAATTAATATAAAGATTAGCTAGGTTAGACAGGTACAAATGGCGGCCTTATCGCTCAGAGGCAATCTCTTACAGGCAACCTTGGTATGGAGAGAAAAACATAAAGGCAAGGAGGTGTAGGGTAGTGGCTGGTGTACTAAGAAAATACGAGTAGATTAGAAGAGGAAATCAATGTAGCATCTATATAAATATTAAAAAAAAGTGATCATTACAAAATAGTAACTGGTAGGACTAGGTCTACGACTCTGATACGACTTAGGTGAATATATGACATAGGTACTAGAAGGAATGTGCCATATACTATATGCTAAATAAGGCTAGTGGTGTTATTAGATACATACAAGTAAATAAATACATGTAATTTATAAAATATACACGCAAATGTATATACTTAAATATATCTATAATATATATTAATAATATACAAATATATATACTTAAATATAAGAAATAATGTAACCTTATTGACTTAGAAGGCGGTTAATAATTATTGTACATTTATGTCTCCTAGGTAATGTGCTTTCACTTGTTTCTTGAAGGAATCGAGTGTTTGAGCACGTCTTATTACGACCAGTAGGGCGTTCCACAACCGAACCGCTTTTAGTGGAATGTCCCGGCATTTTTAGTTGCAGGTTCTCAGATGATCTCAACAGCTTGGGGTGTGTGTCACTTGAGAAAGTAAACCGTGATTTGAGGTAACGTAAAGTAAAAGGATTAAATAGAATATTATAGAGAAGAGAAAGAATATGTGCATTCCGGCGAAGGCGAATGGTGAGCTTACAGTCCTAACATTGCTGGACTTCAGTAATGCATTCAACACTGTTGACTTTGACATTTTGCTGTGTACATTACGCTCGCTTAACATATCTCCAACTGTGATTGACTGGTTTCGCAACTACATGTCTAGTCGCCGGCAGCGCATTAGTATTGAAAGCACTGTTTCTTCTTGGTGCAGTGCTACAGCCGGTGTACCACAGGGCGGCGTGCTATCTCCGCTACTTTTCTCTGTTTTTATAAACACTATCACCGGTGAACTATCTTCTTCCTATGAGAAGAAGTCGATGCGTAAAGATGTGCAATAGAAGACGCCAAGAAGGATTTTGGAGTGAAGAAGTTCAACCTCAAGGAATAGATGATCACCCGCATTCGTTGGAGGGGGCTGCGGCGATATACTAATAACAGAATAGAGGATATAAAAGCGTAAATAGATTGCAACACCGCCGCCGCCACCCACAGCGCGATCATTCCTGATGAGGTTGAATCCTGGAAGAGTATATGCAGAAGAGGGTAAGCAAGGCTTAAGCCACGATTCAGAGACAAGTATAGCGTGTAAATTCGTACAATCAAAGCATGCCAGCATATCGGAGAAGTGAGCCGGAACACTTTGAGCATTTATATGTACAAGGTTGAGATTTTTGGGAACGTCAGAGAACCGAGATGAGAGAGTCTCAATGATTGTTGGATCACCCTGAGAACTAGAATTACTACAGGCAGACAAAAAGTCAGTAGTATCATCACTATCAAGCGAAGACATCAGTAGCTTCCAAGTCGTTGGTTAGAAAAAAATAATGAACAGTGTATTTTTATAAAATATTCAGATAAAGGTAGGTAGGTAGGTAGGTAGGTAAGTAAGTGTCGATATTAAATAAAATGATGTATTAGATATCTAAAAATATTTATCGGTTCACTCCATCTGCCGGTTGCCAGTTACACAATGACCAGTAACAGAAATAATGAAATTAAAGAGAGAAAAAAATAGAAAAGAAACACAACAAATGACAAAAACCAGTAGAAAAAAAAAAAGAAATTGAGAATAAAAAATGACAAAGAAAAGAATACAAATTAGCACTCACTTTCAGTCCAGGTACATATGTTTAAAAGACTGTTTCAAAGGATACGCAGCAATGACAATTTTGACATTAAATGTTTGAAGTGAATGTCAGTATGTTACAATAATTTATTGTTTACCTAAGGATTATTTTACAGAAGATGTGGGTTAGGGAAAATAATATATGCAAAATTAAGTATATAAAGGTATCTAAGTGAAGTTGAAGTAAACAATATGTTACTGATATTTAGGACTAATCCCACCCACACGCCCACCACTGTAACTCCTGTACACCAGTATCCACAGCAGTGACCCACGAACACACCGAGTTATGACACTCGGGAAGTCCCAGGAAGAAATTAAACTGTCTTGGAACCCGCAACGAAATTAATCAGAAGAAAATTGGAGGAGTTGGAAATTCAGTAAGTCCACTTCCCTCCTTAGCAAAGCGGGAGACAAAATGAAGTAAAATGGGCATACACCCTTTTAAACAGGGAAGCATCACGCCCACAAAATATTACGGGTCCTACGTGAGCTATATTTGATTTCTAAAATATGTATGGCTGAATCGCCTAAACGCACTGAAATTCACCCTAGTTGACACAAGATCCCCATAGTATACCGCCCCAGATGTCACCTGCAAGCTATTCAGCATTATATTACGTTCATTATACCAAAGACTACATTCCCAGAGGATATGATGAGCAGACTGTTCATAGTGAGAGCTAGGTGTTGAGCATTGACACAATGGTGACTCGACTAATTTAAATGAATAAAGCTTGCTCTTAAAGTTACCATGACCCGTAAGAAATTGAGCGACACAGTAATCCACCTCAAGCCATGTCCTCGACAACCGTTCGCGAACAGATGGAAAGAATTAGTAAAGATGACGCCCCTTGGATGATTCATCCCAGCGTTGCTGCCATTCGTCTATAAGGTCATTATAGACATCGGACTGCTGTTGAAGCAATCTTGTAATTTTACCGCGATTCCGCGCGCCCAAAAAATCGCATTCCATGTTTTGTTGTCTTGAATAGTACATGGCTGCACGTCTCTGCACCTCGAGATCGACCGGAAGCACACCCGCCAACACCGGCAAAGCCTCAGTGCTAACCGTCCTATATGCCTTGCACAAGAATATCAGTGCAAGTCGTTGGCCTTGTAACAGTTTGCGACGGACAGCGCCTGCGGTCGCCCTATCGGCCCATACAGGTGCACCATAGCACACAGAACCTAAACAAGTAGCTCCGTATATGATCTTTAATGTATTGAATGATAGACCCCATGTCGCAGTTGATATCCTTGTCAATGCACAGAAACTCTTTTTAGACTTTTCATTAACTATTTTAATATGTTCGATAAATGAAAAGTTTCTTTCTAAAACTAATCCTAGATAACACTGTGGTTTTATTTTTTACAGTGACATTGTCAAATCTAATGCTTGGCGGTGATTTGAGGTTACCTTTTAAAAGTAGCTGGAAGGTTTTGTTGGGTGCAAAAGTTAAGCGATTACGTTCACCTCATTGAGATATCAAGTTCAAACATCTATTGGCACTACAAGACGTTCTAAAAGCTTTCCTAACGATGGTAACAATGTGATTGGTCGGTAGGATTTAGGATCATCCGGTGGCTTGTCGCCACTTTTTGGTATTATACGAATATTACCGCACCGCCATATACGAGGAAATATTCCTTCAGCAATGCAACGTTTAAAGACAGTGAAAATCGTGTCACCCGAAAGTTTACAAGCTTCTTTTATCATTTTGTTAGATATTTTATTATCGCCCGAAGCCTTGTTTAGTGGCAAGGATCGAATGATACCGAGAAATTCGTCTGAAGATGGTAAATCAGACATTGGTGACAGTGGTAGTTCGATAGCCCACTGCCTGATCTGTCGGTGATGATCAGTGTCGTTTTCCGGCCGATCGTCAGGTACGAGTCATTCTAAAAGATATTCTGCTGTTTGTTCTACTCCTGTGGTATATTTGTTATTAATTTTGATGTTCTGTATGTATGCAAGGTCGATTGATCGATTTGCCTTAAATTCGTGATACAAAAGTGACCCCGGGCCCTCTCTATCGAGTTTATCAACAAGTTTATGAATAAAGTTTCCCTTTGATTTTTCCACAGCAGCTCTGTAGTGGGACCTGGCAACTCTTTATCTGGTTTAACTTTCTATGAGCTTTCCGGTAGCTTCAACGTAGTTCGACTAATCTATCATTCCACCAATCACATCTACGAGTGTTAGTGATAGATCCGCGACAAATAGATACATCAGCGCAGTATGTGAAAGTTTCT